ATAAATGTACTTATTATGTCCATTCCTTGCCTTAATGGATCAAATACATGTTATTTAATGAAAATAATTAGATTTCAATTAGGAAAAACTTTAAACCATTACATAATGCAATACAAGGGAAAAACATATTTACTTAAGTATAAGTATATTATTAGTATAAACATATTACTTAAGTATAAGTATATTATTAGTATAAACATATTTACTTAAGTATTAAGTATATTTTCACAGCATAAAAAAATTTATATTATTAAATTTAGAACAAAACTTAAAATATCGTAAGTAATTTAAATAAGCATAATGCTTTTAAATAAAATATTAAAAATACATTTTGATCAAAACTTTTTCTGTGCAATTTGCTATTACAGCTCCTACTTGAATTTCTCGGCATTTGGTCATACAGTCAAAAGTCGTTAATTCGGACACCCATAATCCGGAATGATCTATAATCATTCCGGACCTCAAAGCTAAAACCTTTCTGCACATGCGCCGCGTTGACACATGTACATAGGCGTTTACGCGTGTGCGCAAGACCTTTTATGTCTGCGCATACGCGTGTGCGCAAGTGCAGAATACGTTTTCGCATGCGCGTTTTATGTATAACAGACGGAATAAGCTAAAATTATCTTATTATCTATTTCAGTTAATGTTGATGATCGTGTTGTTCCTTAATTTTCGAACTGGATCCGGCTTATTATTTTTTGCAGACTGTAAGAGCAATACTATAAAAGTAAACTTGAACTTTCGATTATATCAAATAGAATTTTCGATGCTGGAGCTCCCAAACGATCTACAAAACGAAAGTATGTTTCGATGTCCATCAAACAAAAGTGGAATTGCTGCAAAAAAGGATAAAGACATAAGAAGGTGACAGAGAGATTAGTGAAAACAAAAAAATTTCGATTGACAAGTTAGTCGGTATTCTCAGCACAGCAATTACGGGACTTGAACAGCGGAACTTCGTAACTGAACAAGAAATTATGTCTGTTTATAGAATTAAAGAGAAAGTATTGTAACATAAAACGAAGCAACTTAAACAACTTACTTTGAAAGAAATGTTTAATAAAGTAAACAAATAAATATTAAGCTTTTTTTTTTGTAAATTTTGATACCCTTTAGATCATAATTGTTCTTATTTCATAAATTACGGTTTCATATTTTTAATTTTAGAATTTCTGCATGCCATCTTACAAGATTTAAACTGATGATCTATAATCCGTAAAAATCGATAATCCGGAATCGCCGAAGTCCCGACGAGTCCGGATTAACGACTTTTGACTGTATATATATATATATATATATATATAGATATTATGCTAACGAAGAAAGCTAATATTATTCTAAAAATTCCAAAAAGTCTGAAAGGAAATAGCCGTTCTCACGCCTGAAAAAAATTTTACAATGCAGATCGCAAAGCAATCTACAAAATTCTTCAATAAAATTTTAATAAATTTCATAGCATTTTATTTCAAACGACTGCTTATTGTGTGAAAGAAATATATTTATAATTTAGAGAAAATTAATTACAATATACAAAGTAAAATAATTAAAAAGGGAACTAAATATTTCATCTAGATAATAAATATATATAACATACTGACTCCCAGCTGGTGCTACACTGGCATTTTCTGGCAGAATTCCATTAGACTGATGAATCGAATCTGCGACTTTCTTTGAAGAAGGATCATATTCTCCTTCTATAATAACAGTTTCATCTTGGCTCGAGCGTATTGTGGTAGAATATGAAGATTTGATTATTTCATCATTTAGAATTGGTTGTATTTTTTCATGCCGAGAATAACCATATCCTTCATTTGAACTACTACTTTTTGGTTTCTCCAATGGTACCTGTCCTGTCAACCTTTCGATAACTGGATTACAGCCTGGAAGAACAGAGTTATTTTTCTGGCTATTATCTAATTCTGGAATAATTTGATTTGATTTAGAAATGTTTTGATGGATACCCTTCTGGAAATCTAATCCATCAGAATTATTTTCATTAAAATTGGCTTCTTTTACACTGACAAGTGATTCAATTTTCTGGGTTGTAGGATTATTCACATTTTCAGTTTCTGCTGGCTGAAATATTCTTCGAGCCACTGTAAGAATTATTGCATTACGAATAGGACCATCTGACTGGGACATGGCATTCCTTAGTGTTTCCATGGCATTACTATTACTCATCCCCAATAAAGATATTCCATTGATGTTAACTAACTGGTCATTTGTCTGAAGCCGTCCATCCTGGAATAAATTTGCCCAATTCAAATTCCTTATTTTTTATATGATTTAAAACTGATTACTGAACCATTAATAAAATAAGAAAAGTGAAAATATATTAAAATACAAATGCAAAATTTTCTTAATAAAAATATTCTTTGCTGAATTAAAAAAAAAATGTCTATACTTAATTATTTGTACATATTTACAGTACTTCCAACACAGAATACAAATGATTTCAACTAAAAGATAAAATTTAGACTTCCCCTCTCGAAATATTAAGCATGTTATGGTTATAGGAGGTTCAGACTGATTCTTCATAAACATTGAAATGGAATTAAAAATGAGCAACCTACAACAATGAATACTTTCATTTCTTATATATATTGCTTGTTAGCTCTAATCATTATTAAATTTTGCATTCTTCAAGAGAGCCAAAAAAATCAACAATGATCTTTTATAAGGCTTCTAAGTAATTCTTTAAAACACTGGAGAGCTTTTTTTTTTTAAAAAATGAATTAATTACCTATTTTGCCAGGAGACTTATTTTTCGTTTAGCAAAGACACAGTATGTCTAGATATAGTCACTTGCCTAAGACATAGACACATTATCTAATGAATTCATTGAAATAGACACAGCCTAATTTATTAGATAATGCCTGTTTTTCATTAAACAATATGTCAGATTAAAAACATTCCAAAATACAACACAGGTTAAACCCTACAAGGAGTTATTTAAACCGTTTATCCGTACATTGCTGAAGGAAACATATCTGCTAAGGAAAGGAAAATCATATTTTAAATTGTCTTGCAGTAGCTGTTAAAAATGTAATTTCAGAAGAGACCTTAATTATTTAATTTAATTGTCTCAGATCCAAATTTTTATTTTGTAACTGATCTCTCGCATGTTTAAGTTAAACACAGGTGGACAAGTGCTAAGGATGGGTCACAAACGGCTATATAGAGTGTAAAAAAAGTAGGGGTGGTTGAATGTCAAGTGCATTAAAATACGAGGCACATTCAGAAAGTAAGTTCCCCGATGTTTTCCCCTTTAAAGTAAACATAATTAGCCGTGTCACTTGCAAAATTTGGATCTATGATGTATCAATCATATGCCAGCCAAAGAAGTCCCGCCTCGTGCCAGTAGCGTGGTAGCAGTGATCTGAAATGGAAGCTCTTATTCCTTCTTCCGCCACCTGTGAAGCTTGGTCAGTGATAAAGTTCTTGAATGCATAAAGCATTGCGCCAATTGAAATTCATCGTCAGCTCTGTCAGGTCTATGGGTTGAGCATCATGAGTAAGCAGATGGTGCGTTGCTGATGTAGGCAGTTTTGGAAGGTCGTCAAAGTGTCCATAGTTTGGTTTGGTTTATTGAAATTACGGCAAAGCACACTAGGGCTATCAGTTTCAGAGGAGGGATGCCTTCATGGAGGACTTTCTAAGGGAAACCTGGCTCGTATATACATTACACATGGGGAAAACCCCGAAAATGCCGAAGCAGCCAGCCCGTTCACGGGATTAGAACCTCGGACTGAACTTGCAGTGTTCAGAAACTTTACCGCTCGGCCACTGGTGGGCCCCAAAGTGTCCATGATGAAGAGTGCAGTGTGCGACCATCCCTCATCATTGATGATCTTGTTGAGCTTGTGCGGCAGCGTGTGATGGAGAACAGTCGCTTCACAATTATGGAGTTGAGCAGCCATTTTCTGCAGATATCGCAATCTTTGTTACATGAGACTGTCACTAAGCACCCGCTGTTCAAAAAATTGTATGCCAGGTAGGTGGTGTCGAAAAACCTGACACCCGAACACAAAATTGAGCACATAGGAGCAACACTGATATTTCTGCAACAGTATCACGATGATGGCGATGAGTTTCTTGACAGGATTGTCACTGGTGGCGAGACTTGGATTTCGCACTTCCCTCCGGAAATAAAGCAGCAGTCAATGCATTGGCGGCATAGTGGATCTCCGATCAGGACGAAATTCAAACAGGTGTTGTCGGTACGGAAAGTGATCAGCACGGTGTTCTGGGACAGGAAGGACATTTTGCTCATTGAGTTCCTTCCACGTGGAAGAAATTCAATGAGCAGAAAGAGTAAATGCTAACTTTTACTATGAAACACTGCTGAAATTGCAACATGCCATTCAAAACGAGAGGCGTGGAATGCTTACAGAAGGTGTTGTGCTCCTCCATGACAATGCTCGTCCACATACGGCTCAATGCACAGCAGCTGTTTCGACTGCTGGAATTTGGCTGAGAGTTGTTTGATTATCCACCCTACAGCCCTGATCTTGCTCCAGCAATTTTCATGTTTTCTTGCACCTAAAGAAATTCCTGTCCTCCGGTGAGCGTTTGGCAACGACGAAGAGCTGAAGACGTCTGTCACACGCTGGTTCCATTCACAGCCAGCAGAGTTTTACGACAGAGGGAAACAAAAGTTGATCCCATGATACGACAAGTGTCTCAATTCTGGTGGGTGGCTATGTTGAAAAATAGCTGAAATATTGCTGTACGTGTTGCCAATAAATATGTTTCTGAAAGTGTGAGTACTTTTTTTTTTTTCAAATAGGGAAACTTTCCTGGATGCTCTACGTACAAGACAAGGACATAACAATAAAGATATTTTATTGTGCTCTAATACAAAAGACTTTGGAAAACATTCAAGGGACAAAATGATCATTTTGTGCTGAATACATAAAAGTGAAAAAAAATGCAATTATTGTCTACAGGCATTCTGGCGTAAGATGTCAGTGTGGAATATGGCCACCATGGAAGGCGATGCCAGATTCCACACATCGTGTCATGTTTTGCACATTATCCAGCAGGCGTTAGGCTAATTTACTCCATTCCCCTGTCAGTGCATGGATGAGGGTGTCCTTGTTTATTGAAGGGTTATGTCAATCAAAGAATCTCAAACATTTTCAATGGGATTCAGTTCTGGAGAACGTGCAGGCCAAACGAGACACAATGTTGCATTGTCATCTGTAAAAGCAAGTTTATTACCATGGAACATGCGATCATGAGGCAGCAGAAAAATACTAATATATCATTGGCCAGTTTAATGCATGCAGAACAATGTAAGGCCATTGATCATAACCCCAGCCCATACCATGATGCTACATGTAGGATATCAGTCTCTTTCCTGTATGTCTGTCGGTCTGTGTGCAGTACCCATCTCATGCCAGATCAACTGACATCTGTAAACCAATGACAGACTGAACTACACTCATCTGAGAATAGTATTGGGTCAGTCCATAAATTCGTGCACATTTTTTAAATAATATAAAAAAACACAATTTAACATTTTAATCATTTATACATTTTACTCCAATACTTACAACATCTCGCCATCTTACAGGCAACTTTTTTATGCCATTGCTGTAGAAAGACTCTGGTTTTGATGCAAAAAAACTTAAAAAGTTCACTGTGTACATCCTGTTTAAAATTTAATTTTTTTTTCCAGTAAAAAATTTTGTAAGGCATAAAATAAGTGAAAATCACTTGGGGCAATATCTGGGGTGTAAGCAGGACGTGGCAAAAGCTCCCAATTAAATTCATTAATTTTTTGCAGTGTTGTTCGAGCCGCATGAGGTCTAATGTTATCATGATGAAACAATACTTTCTTGATATTTACCAATCGTGGGCGTTTTTTGATCAATTCTATATTTAGATGGCAAAGTTGTTCACTATAAACTTCTGAATTAATCGTTTGATTTGGTTCTAACAGTTCAAAACGTCCTGAATAGGGTTCATCATCAATGCTGCTTTTTCCAACTTTAAGTTTTTTAAACCATTTCTGGGCACTCCTTAAACTAATAGTGTGTTCACCATGTACACTATTAATTTTTATCGCTGCAAACCTGGCAGATTCACCACATGAAAATAAAAAATGTAGCACAGCACGTTTATACTAATTATCTATATTCTTTTTTATGGGTACTAAAATGCGTTCGATATTTACGAAAGTTGGTGATGAATTGAATAATATGTTAGTCAAACGATGACAAGTTTCAACAGGTTCAAAATTGTACTGTTTTAGTAAATGTGTCATAGTAAATTCCACACATACTCTTAATGAGCACGAACTTATGAACTGACCCTATACATAAGTACAGCTAAGACACAATAACACGCCGAATAAATACTAATTCAGAAGTCAAACAACAAAAATCAGCGTTATACCTACAAAATTTTCACAGGACTAGTTTCGATGGTTTTACCGAACCATCATCTTCAGCTGCAAAAGCGCAAATGAACAAGATAGGAAATAATGATTAGATAAGATAAGAAAGCCTGGACAAGAATAAGCAAGTGGCGCCATCTGTTGGCGAAACCAGAACTAAAACATAATTTCTCTAAAAGCTGAAGGCAAATTTGGATTGGAATTAGGATCGTTAACTAGAACAGAAAGATTTTTATGAATGTGAAATGCCTCTAGAAAATCCAGTTCTCCAATGGAAGATGTTTTTTGAATAATTTTGGCAGCAGAAAAATTGAAAGTGTGATTTTCGGACCAACAATGTTGAGCAACAGAAGACTTCTGTGTTTCCTTTTTTCTAACATATGCCTCATGTTCTTTGACGTGAAATTTTAAGGCTCTCTTAGTTTGGCCAATGTAAATTAAACCACACTGGCAAGGAATCCTATAAATACCCCAGGAATTCATATCCGGAATGGGGTCCTTGAGTATAGAAGTTGGAATTTTATTGATGGGAGAATAAACAACCCGAAAGTTAAATTTCTGCAAAATACGTGCAACTTTATAGCTAATTGATGGAAAGAAGGGAATGACAACAGAATTTTTATAATCTCCTAAAATAAGAGTGTGGCTTTTAGTGTGTTGAGATGAGAATTTTTTAACTGCTTGATTAATAATTTTGGGTGAAAAGCCTGTATCAATAGCTATTGCTTTTAAATAATTTAGTTCTTCATCAAGGGCTAGTTTGGAGGAGCCAAACTTGAAGAGCACGGAAAACATAGGAATAAAATGAAGCTAACTTTTGTTTAGTCGGATGACATGATTTAAAGTGTGGTGGAAGGCAAACCGATGAAGGTTTACGGTAAACTGTAGTACTGAAATTGGATGTGTTACGTGTGACCAGAATGTCGAGAAACGGAAGAGAATTGCAAGTCTCAAGTTCAAAAGTGAACTGAATAGCAGGATCAATAGAATTCATTGTTGAAAGAACTTTATTTAAATTATCTTTATTACCTTCAAACAGGGTAAAAGTATCGTCTACGTAGCGGAACCATGCCGGGAAGTTTAAAGTTTCAAACAATTTTGATTCATAATAATGCATGTAGATATCAGCCAGGATGGGACTGAGGGGGCTTCCCATGGCTAATCCCTCAGTTTGTTTGTAATATTTATTTTGGAAAAAAAATGTGTTTGTTTCAAACAGAGTTGAGTGAGAGAAATTAGCTCCTCAATTTCGATGCAAGAGAAATGAAATTCGCGAAGTCTGGTTTCTAGACATCTTAATGCACCCTCCACTGGGACATTGGTGAATAATGATTTTACATCAAAAGAAACCATGAGTAAATTACTAGGAGAAATGTTTTTAACCTTTTTTACAAACTCTATTGAATTTTTTATGGTGTAAATGTTATTGTCTAATAGATTGGAAAATCTAGAAACTAAATATTTAGCTAAAGGATACGAGGCAGTACCTAAATTTGATACAATAGGGCGAAAAGGAATACCACTTTTATGAATTTTGGGAAGAGCATATAATCTGGCACAATTCGCAACAGATGGGATAAGCGAATGTTTTAAGTTGCTTGAAATGATTTGCGAAGATTTGATCGCAGTTTTTATTTTTGGATAAGTCCGAAGGTGAAGGATCTTTAGGGATCGGATTATATGGTCCTTCGTTTAAGAGTTTAGTGACACCATCGATGTAAGTGTTCTTATCCATGACGACAATCTGGCCACCTTTGTCGGCCTTTGAAATGACAATATCCGGGTTAGAATGAATTTCTCGCGCATTGTAGCTCTTTCTCTGCGCAGTTAGATTTGGTTTCAAAGGTTTATTTATTGAATTTCACATTATGAGCGATAAGATGCCTAATCATTTCTTTCTGTGAATCTGAAACTTTACTGAACTTGAAAGCTTTTTTCGATAGGAGCCAAAATCTTTGGAATCGAGGGTTTAACAGGTTTTGTGAGAAGTTAAAATTATATTTTAGAATTCTCTCTTGTTCTTCTGACAAGACTAACATTAGAAATATTAACTATTGGCTTGATGTTTACAATGGGAAGATTTTTGAACTACTTGAACTGGAAGACTGTAAAAGAAGTTTTTCGAATTTAACTGCAAAGGTGTTTTTTTATGACGGTTAACTGCATTCTCCGTTCTAGACCAAGACTTTTGTTCAAGGGCAGTGAATTTTGGATATGATTTAGCGAGTTCCAGATGAAGCTTATAGAGTTCATGTTCAATTTTGGACAATTGTTGACGTGTATCCCTTATCACGGACCGAAGTAAGGCAAGCTTGCAATTTAACAGAATTCTTGAAACGCGACTCGAAGGTTTTTGATTAGATTTGATTTGAATAAAATTGGGGATCAATTTTTTACATTTACATTTAAGTAAAAAGTCAAGATGATTCAGGAATTTTTGCCGTTTCAGGCGTAATTTAGCGAAACGATTAACGGATGAAGGCATGAATGCAAAAATCGAACTAAATTAACTGAGCAATAATAAAGTACACACAAAACACAGAAAAATCCCTCACTGAAATGAATAGAAAACAAAATGTTTGTATGCAAAATGCATGAAATCAGACAAGCAAAGCACAATATCCAAATGTACAAAACATAAACATAACTTGACAATAGTCCTGTGAAAATTTTGTAGGTATAACGCTGATTTTGTTGTTTGACTTCTGAATAAGTACAGCTGTCTCCTCCAATTGCGATGTTGATGAAACCATTGCAAATGGTCAGAATGGTGACATCTAGACATTGGAATGCACGCAGCTGGACAGCAAGCCTACAGTCTTCCTTGATGCAAACGTCTAGCTACCGAATTTTCAGAGGGCTTTCGCTTGCCAGCAGCAGCAAGTAACTGATTTGCTACCTCAATGTCCTGCACCAGTTCCTTTATATTGATAACAATATCAACATAAAGGAACTGGCGCAGAACAATCTTTTGCAGTAATATCAATAACTATCTTCGGCAGGCGTCGTACAGTTAAAAGTAGTTAATTCGGACGCCCATAATCCGGAATGATCTATAATCCGGACCTCAAAGCTACAAACTTCCTGCACATGCAATGAATTGAATTCCGTGGCACGCAATGAATTGGAAGTTGATCTGTCAGCACTATCCTTATCTTCAGGGCAGATGTTTTTATTTTATTTGGCTTATAATTCCTTACTAAATGTAGTATTTCATCTTGATGTACTCCGTCTTTGATAGGGTTTAAATCAAATTCCTTGTCATTATAATTCACTTTTGATAGTGAAAAAAAGTGACACAGAGGTTATTGAAAACGAAAAAATTTCGATTGACAAATTAGTCGGTATTCTCCACACAGCAATTATAGGACTTGAACAGCGGAACTTTGTAAATGAACAAGAAATTATGTCTGTTTATAGAATTAAAGAGAAAGTATTATCACATAAAACGAAGCAACTTAAACAACTTACATTGAAAGAAATGTTAAATAAAGTAAACAAAAAAATATTAAGCTTTTTTTTTTTTTTTTTTTTTGTAAATTTTGATACCCTTTAGATCATAATTGTTCTTTATTATATAAATTACGGTTTCATATTTTTTATTTTATAATTTCTGCATGCCATCTTACCAGATTTAAACTGATGATCTATAATCCGGAAAAAATCGATAATCTGGAATCACCGAAGTCCCACCGAGTCCAGATTAACGACTTTTGACTGTACTGAGAACATGACCTCCCCTATGACATTTGCTACACATTCCATTTGTTTGAAAATATTTCCAAAGCTTTGAAATGAC